CCCCAAAACCCCAAAACCCCAAAACCCCAAAACCCCAAAACCCCAATATTAAGAAATTTATTTTTAAATATATTTCAGACTTTTAAAATGAGCTCAAAAACTAATGATCCACCAACCATGAAAGGGAAGGAAACTTCTTGTGATCGGAGTCTATATGTCCTGACAGAAGCTACTCTTATTGTTGGAGCCATCCCTTCGGTTATTCTCTTTATACTCGCTATATCTACTTGATTGATCTTACTCATTGAGCAGGATGATTACGATAAGTGAATTGCAACTAAAAAGGCACAGAAAATATTAGCAGGAGGTAATAGTGATGATATTTCCGACTATCTAGACTGGAACCTCACCGGATCATCCATTGCCTCATATGTTTTCCTAATATTCTATGGGCAAATGCTGTTCTTGATAATGCCGTTCTTGTACAAATACACAGGAGTTTTAATAATTTTAGTGATGACTCTTATGTTTGGGTTTAATATTGCTGCAACCATATGGATAATAGACAATGACTGAGATGATACAACATACTACTACACTGCGATTGCGAATAATGCAATCCAATACATCCTCTCAATTCTGGTCTTATTTGTATCTTTAATAGTTTTCTGATGAGCGGGTTCAAAATCATCGAATGATTCAGCAAGAGTTGCTAACGAACTCAGAAAAGAAGCCAAACCAACCGAGCTGCCCAACTCCAAACAAGAAGAAAGGAAGGATGAAAAGTGGGAGGATAACAAAAATGAAGGTAGGTCTCTTCTTCAGCTTGCGGAGCAATACTAGATATTACCTTAACACATTTCTCTTCTTGATAGAGGCTAAATGAACCTCTTTTGAAAGTCCTCAAAAATTGATGATTTTCTATAGACAAGAAGGATAATAACGGTGATCAATGGGCAAACAATAATGAAGTTAAAAGCAATATTGGCAATAGCTGGGATGGCATTAACGACAAAGATGAGGAGGAAGAGGAAATTTATTAACCAAAAGAATGTCTGACCAACACTCTGGATGTTAAATCCATCCAGAAATATTTTTAGCTTAATAGTTCAGCCAAACAGTAACTTTTTGGGGTTTTGGGGTTTTGGGGTTTTGGGGTTTTGGGGTTTTGGGG